TTTTGTAGGCACAATGGGAAAGTCGAACAAAGATAAGGACGCCGCAAGAAAGAAAGAAAAACAAGCACAAGTGACTGCTTTGAGAGGGAAGCCTCTAACTTGCACACCCACAGATGGATCATCTAGGCAACAAGTGTTGTCAGCTAAGAAATCACAAGAGCAAGAGAAGAGAGAGGGAAAGAAAATAACAACCTCCAGCGGAGTTGAGAGTGATGAAGAGAGTGGAGAAGAGCCAGCTCCAACCAAAAAAGCAAGGAAATCCACTGAAGAGGGAACAAAGCCTTATTCTAAGAGAGAAAAGGACAAGAAACCAACCTCAGCTGTGTTCCTAGACTTCCTAAAGGAAGGTGTGAGCTGGCCTGCTACAAGATTTGGGGATACAGAACTGATGGAGGAGATTGGTATTGATGAAGATGTCAAGGCTATGCTAGGCAACATGAACATGTCTAGCTTCTACTCCTTTGCTCATCCCACCTACAAGGAGCTGTCTTGTGAGTTCTTGTCCTCATTGGTGGTAACTTATCATGAATCTCAGCATGTGAGGCAAGGATGGGGAAAGATAACGTTCAAGGTTAAAGGGAGAGTTCACAACGTCACCTTCAAGGATATTGGGAGGTTGTATGGATTTACAGATGCAGAATACTTCCATCTTCCTAGGCTTACTGGAATCTCCAGAGACATCAACATTCCAGCGAAAGTTTGGAAATTCATTACTGGCACATCTCACGTCACGGGGAAAGACAAGAACTCAGCCATCAGGAACCCAGCGATACGATACTTCCACAGCCTTTTTCCCTCGTAAGGAGCCCGGATCCGTAACTGAAGAGGAACTGCGACTTCTTTGTCTAGCTCTTGCACCCTTAGCACCTGAGAAGATCCCGTTTGATGTCGGTGAGTTGTATAAAGACTTTGGAATGGTTGGATTCTTTATGACGCGCCTTGAGTACTATAGGGATTGGGCTTGGCCAACAGAGGATTCAGAGCCTCAGATTGGGATTGGAGGCATGATCACTCCTCTACTTCAGCATGTTGGTGTGAACCTAGGTTCTGATGGCATTGGTCCTACCTTCCTTGACGGGACTCACATAAAAATTTCTCAATATTTCAGCGGAAGGTACAAAGGAGATTGTGTCTACACCTACAAGACACATGGTAGAGTTGTTGAAGTGGTCCTCCTCAACAAGAACATAACAAGTCTACAGCTTCCAGGAGCAGTTGCCTTTGATATTGGGGATGAGCATGTACTAGGGCCTCATGGATCCCTAGGCCCCATGGTAGTAAGCAAAAGGAGGAGGAGTGTTCCAACTGTTCGATCTGCAAGAGCACATCAACCAGAGAGGCAAGAGAGTACCGATGAAGCACTCTACGGCCCACCTCGCTACTACTTTCAGCCTTATGCAGGAGCCTTAGCCCCATGACCTCTCCGGGATGCTCACGAGCACATTGATAAGCTTCAGCGATGGAACAAGGCTCAAGATCGCGCTTTCTACAAGCTCAAGACAAAGTATAAGGAGCTGAAGAAGACAATGAAGAATACATTGAAGAAGATGGCTGATGTTCTGGTAAGAGGAAGTGTAGTAGGATGTAGCTCCAGTGACTTTGCAATGGCCAACACATCAGCTCCTCGGCCTCAACGTGACAGCCAGCAAGAGCGTGCTAAGCGCAACTTTGTGGCCCTTCCATCAGAATCAGGGAACGAATCTCCATCATTGACATCCTCCGATGATGATTCTGGTGACAATGTGAGTAGCGCGCCGATGGATCATTCCGGTGCACCATACGGCTACTACAATGCAGCCTACAATCTTTATGGTCCCCCTTATGGCTTCAACGCCCCACGGCCGGACTATTACATCACATACCCTGACCCAGACGAGCCTGACACAGCTGGTGGAGACACCTCCTTCAACCCCGACAACTAGCGAGGTACTCCATCCCCTCTCATTGTATATACCGCTTTCATTTCCTGCATTTTATTTCTTTTCTCGGTATCTCTCTCGACTTAACAACACAGAGACTGTGTGAATTAAGTTTGGGGGAGGTACCAAGTATTTAATCATGTTTTCTTTGATGATTTTGAGTCTCATGCATTGCATTGTACATTTATAAAAAAAATTTTAAAAAAAAAAAACAAAAACAAAAACAAAAATCATGTAGGTTGCATCATTTGCATTTTTAGGAGAGTCTAGAGCATGTCGTTTGCATTCACTTGCATTGGGAACAATGATTTTAAAACACCTTGTGATGAACACTTGTCAAGAGCTCAAAGTGACACCCTAGTTAGACACATCAAGTAGCTTGAACATCTCTTGAAAACCTTGCACGCTTCGAGCCTTGAAAACTCTTCTTGAAACATGTTTGCTTGCTTTAAATCGACATTGTTCTTAAAACCAGCTCCAATCTGAATTTTGGCTTAATGAACTTAATCTCTCTTGCATATGGGCACTTATATACTTTATCATGGATCTCATACACATTTGGGTTATGTTACTCTATTTTCACCACTCTTTTGTTAACCCAAATGGTACTCCACACCCTTGATTTGAACCCAAGCCATTCTTTTGAGACCAAACATTTAATTTGCATGAGTGAGGCCTTCTTTTGATAGCTTGTCATGTGCAAAATCTTGAGAGTATTGGAGGCGACATAGGATTGTTCTCATCTCTTGCTAGCATAGGAACATCTTTTGAGCTAGCATCTAGGATGGTGAGTGGGGTTCATGTGTTTCAAAGCTGATATTTTGGGTTGTGAATGAAAGATTATGAGAAAGGTGAACCAAATTGTGCCTTAAGGAAAGAAAGAAATCCACTAGGAACCAAACCAAATGAAGAAGAGCTCTAGATTATGTATTAAGGAACCGTTCCCATATATATATATATAAAAAAAAAAACAAAGGAATAAGTTTGGGGGAGATGTGTAAAGAAGAAGAGCTAGAGTTACAAAGAAGAAAAGCTTGTGAAGAGTCCCTAGTTGGTTGTGCTAAAAAAAAAAAGAGAAGAATTTGTTCATTGGGTGAGTGATGTGAGCAAAGGTTATTTGGGGTATGAGATGATGAAAGAAAGGGTTAGAACTTGAAATCACTTAGGAAAGGGTAGAATGATGAGAATAAGACTATGCATGCATCAGTTGCCTCTAGTCTTAGATAAATTTTGCATATTGATCAAGCTCCTTGTTCTTGAGTGATAGCCACTAAAAATGATGCATCTGAACCATCCTTTCATTCTCATTAGACCCGTTGCTTGCCTAGCAAAATGATTGAGATCATGTGCCCATTTGTGAGACTTCACTTTGTGTGTGTGTGTGTGAACTAATGTGAGGGCTGGTTTAAAGACTTGGAAATTGAAGAGTATTGCATCTTGTTAAAAAGGCATAAGAGTGTGTTGATAGGCCTAGAGAAGCTAGAGTGTGATAAGAGAGTGTGTTCATGCTATTTAGAATGTCTCTTTAGGATGATAAGTTGAGTTCTTAGATGTGTTTCTCTTGGTTATGAGTTCCCGCCTTCAAACCTCTCTTCCCATAAGTCCTTGAAAGATCACTTGAGGACAAGTAAAGGACAAGTTTGGGGGAGTTGATATGCTGCATATTTACTTAGTTTTAACCTTTCATTCTTATTCATGTTAAGCATATAGATTAGGTTTAGGCACTTTTAGGTTGCATATTGCATTCATTTGTCTTTATCAGGTCATGGAACTTGCTATGGAGTTCTTGGAGGTGTTTGGGATCAATTATGTGCTAAAAGAGAGCACAAAGGTGATATTTGGCGAGCCGGAGCAGCCACAGCGAGGTCAAGAGGCCGCTGCGACCAATACCAGCCGGAGAGGAGGTGACGCAGCGGAGTCAAGGGTCGGTGTGCCTTGGAGCAGGGTCTCGGTAGCGGGTACCCAACCCCGCTCGACTTTGAAGAAGAAAGAGAGCGATCACAGCGGGGGGTCGGCAGCGGGGGCATGACACCGCTGTGAGCTCTGGAGCAGGGTCTTGGCAGCGGTGTAGTGACCCCGCTGCGCGTCTTGTGTGTGCGAAAAATCTGTTTTATTTCGGGACCTTTTGGTCATTTCTTTTATGTTCTAACATTGTAAAAACCTAAGTTAAGTACTCCGTAAGCCACCATTGGAGATCTATCTTTGTTCTTGAAGAAAATACTTGAAAACCTATTGGAAAGTTCATCTTTTAAGATCATTGATTTCATTATTCATTTTTGACTTGTCTATTTCATCATCTACATGATTAAATTTGAATCTAAAATGGGTTTAAGATTAATCATGATGTGTAGTGAGTAAATCACCGTTGAATTCATGGGTTAGGGAGACTAAGGATGATTAGTCTAGAATTAGAGTGTTTAGTTTAGATTTCTCCTATTCCTTGCTTGTAAAGTGATCCTAATGCTTTTCTTGAGTTGGCCACTCAAAAGTTGATCTTTAGACATTTCCCACTCACAAAGTGTTCGATGAAATGTCTGAGTCAACTCTCCTAAGCTTTTAACATCCTTTACCATGGATACTTGTTGTTAAAGGTGTTAAGATGGCTAATAGACTTGTTCTTAATGATTGCTTTCATGATATTCAACCAAAGAAGTTTGATGTTTGAATTGTGTTTGCAAATGAACATTCATCTAGACATAGAGCTTGTTTAGAATTGTGTCTAGGCCTAAGGTAGATAGTTTAATTGATCACTTGCCACTCTTAGTTCGAAAACTGATCATCCAAGGTCAAATTCCCTGTACCCATAGATTCTCCCGTCTCTTAATTGTTAAAGTTTATTCAGTCATCGCATTCTTTACTGCACTTCGATATTAGTTGTAATTCATAAACCAATCAACCACATGATTGCACTTAGATTAAACTAGTACTTGGATTCTCAGTGCTTTTACATTTCTCAAAACTGGTTCGACAATCTTTTATACTACATCATTTGTCTTAGGAGCATTGAAAACTCCTAACATCAGTCCATATTCCTACGATTGCACCTGCAACTACCGTAGCCACCGTCGCAATCTTTAACTTCTATTTCATCTCCTGTGCAACTCTAGAAATCTCCAAGTTCACCTTATCATTGAGCTTTTCCGACATCTCATGTTCCACTCTAACCATCTCGGACTTCACCTTTTCCATAACAATTTCTTGAAACTTAGCAATCCCTTCAGCAACCATCTCATGTTTTGCATCCACCATTCGTATCTCGTCAATCAAAGCTTCATCAATCCATTTAAATAGATGATTCTCAGTTTTTCTCTATCGAAAAATAAACAAAATTTAAGTCAGTATTCTAAGTGATATTGAACAGCTTAATATGCACATCGAAATAAAAAAGGACTTAAATCTAATGTGATTTCGCATCGATAGAACCGTCGATACTTATTCTCCGCGGTTGATGAACCAAAAGTAGTTATGCCCTCGCCACACCAACATCTTCTAGGGACACCATGAGTAGCGATACGAGGAAAACAAGCAGAAGATGTTGATGAAGTGGACATAGTGATTTTGTTTCTAGATTTCCACGATTTCGCAGAGAAAGAACCCTAATACCTTTTTCTCTACACTTTAGTTTTCTAACTTTTGGCAAATGAATAGACAATCACGTGTTTGGGCGTGTCTAGATCCGGGTTTTGGGGTCGGGTTTTAAGAATTTTCGGGTGGGCCTAGTGGGTATAAACCTTAAATGGTTGTACTCTGATAACTCTTATAGTGGGTGCTAAATGACTACATTATAATACCTCAATGGAGAAGTCATATGAGAACTAAACGTGTTAACATTCTAAATTCTAAACTATAACTTAATATGTCTCACGTGGGTATCATTTGTATAACTTAAACTATAACTTAATATGTTAACATTCTAAATAGTAATCTTATTCACTCTTTATGTGATTTAGGGTATTGAATTTGAACCCAATCTAGTTAGTGTTTAGTGTGTTTTAGTGTTTAGTGTATTCATTCTTTATGTGATTTAGGGTTTAGCTAATGAACCCTATCTATTTTAAGGTTTAGGGAATGTCCCCTATCTATTTTAGGGTCTAGGGTATGTTTAGAACTATTTTAGGGTTTAGGGTATGTTTAGAACTATTTTAGGGTTTAGGGTATGAACCCTATCTATTTTAGGGTTTAGGGTATGAACCCTGTCGGTTTTAGTTCATGTAAGTACTTCAACAACAGTGAAATAGCAATGCAACAATTCCATAACAATAAGAGTAATGTAAAAATCAACATGTCAAATACAAAGAGGAAACAAATTAGAAATCTTAAACATCATCAAGCAACACCAACATATTCAAGTGAGATCTATAGTTTTTCCTGGAGCATGCTTTGGAGGCTTGAATGTTGACATTCTGAACTGCAAGACCTCATCATTTGCTGCTTCCCAGAGATCGTATGCGATCTTGTGCCGGGCTTCTTGGATGTTCTCGTCGTGCATCAAAAAGAAATCGAAGCCAAGTACATGGCACTCTATGAACTTCAAAGCATATGCACCACAATCATTATTATTCTTGTTTAGGTCGCCGCACATAGGAACATATGAAACAGTATAAGGCTTCACATTGAAATCTTTCATCCTTTCCGATGATTGAACACCCTTGACAATTCGTGGAATGAGGCTTGCGAATTCTTCCACCGTCCTCGTGTTCCTCAGACCCGCACAATCGAAGACCTCAATTGTCCGGTTCACAAGATTTACACACATAGAGATCCAGTGGTTTTGGTTGACAAAAGTCGGGGCATAAAGACGATCAACATCAACATCCCATACTAAAACTGTTCTTCCATGATATGGAAGGTCACCTCTTCCATAATCGATAAGAACTTCGTCGAGTTTGTACCTCTCTTATTCCCCTGAAACTGCCCGTTCGCCACGATGATACTATTACTAAACGAACAGCTCATAAAAGCCACTCGGTCTGGCTTCCAACGACGCAATGTGGTCTTTTCTTGAAACAAATACATCATGGCGTCTATGTCCTGAAAAGCACATTACATATGTATTAAACATACTTAGTTTAGAAAGTTGCATTATCAGATGTAAACTTACAAAGTTCTTGAACCATTGACCAGGCCCAATTATACGTTTACATAACGTTCCATCAAAAATGGATGGCCCAATCTTAAGTCGACTGTAAAGAAGAAGAATTAGTGTTACAAGCAAGAATCTAGAAGAACAAAAACTTATGTACGTGGGATTCAAGGAACTACTTACGTGGGATTCAAGGACCATTCATTTAGTTTCTCCCACTCTTCATCTGGAACAAAAACTAATGCGTAGTCACTATCTTTGCAACAGAGTTCTGGTGTGTCATTATCAACTAAGAATGGACGCTTAAAGTCCTCTCTTGGGAAAGAAGTCATAGGAGTGGTGAACTCATCTTTAACTTTAGATTTCATGTCTTAAGAAGGATCAAACCCTATAACATGGGACTCTTGTGTAAGGTTGCCCATAGTCTTCTGTAAGTACTCTTGGGTCCCTAAATTGGCATCTAAGGTCTCAAATAAGCTCCCAAAAATATCAGACACATTTGAATCCTGGTTATCAAACACGAAACACAAAAATTAACATTTTAAAAACATATATATTACAAGCCCAAACTACATCATCCTTACATCAACATTAAAAACAGCAAAAACAGTCCATGATCCTTACATTATTCGTAAAACAACCCAAAACGAAAACATCATCCTTACCTTAATAGTACAAACCACAAGTACAATACATGAGATCAATAGAGGTTTATCACTTGGTTACCTTTGACTTCGACCTTTTCTTGGCAGCATTTGCAGGACCACCAGTTTCAGGATGACCTCCAGTGCGTGAAGAAACAGGAGCTCTGCTGCGAGAAGGAGAAGGAGTCGAAGCCGGAGCTGGAGCAGGAGTCGAAGCCGGAGCTGGACCAGGAGTAGTGAAAGTGGCAGCCGGATCATCAGTTGCAGTGTGAGTTGAAGCCGTAGCACCAACAGGAGCAGTAGGAGTAGGACCATGTGAAAGACCTGGATTCTGAGATGCGAGGAGCTTCTCCTCAAATTTGGTAAACCGGTCATTAATT